AACTTTGTTTCTTTTGTTTTTTTTTTTTGGGGGGGGGGGGGGGGAGAGAGAAAAGGCGAGAGAGAGACCAGAAGAAGAGGACAAAGTTAAAGTAAACGAAGAGAAAAGAGAATGTCTATGTGAAGAGTTCCCAGTAGTTGAGCGCGATGTTCAAGTCTTTGTAAATTTGTCTATATGCGTTACACAGCAGAGAACAGAGGGAGACTTCAGTACGTATGTGTTAATTTAGTGCTCTGAGATTTATTTAAGTGTGCTGTGTTGCATATCTACTTTAAGTCTCTCTCTGGGACTCCTGCTCTATATACATATCTGCCAGTTTTTTGAACTGTGGACCCCAGTGACTCAGATATTCAAACTCTTGGTCCCCCTCAGTGGCGGCTGATTCTAGAGAGCTGAGGGATTCCGCCAAAGATCCGTTGCCTTCGTAGGCATAGGTAGCCAAGGAGTCATAAGGGGGTGCTGTGGGATCTGAGTCATTTTCCTGCAGTCGTCCATTGATAAAGTCCCTCACATCCGTGTTGTCTTTGATGGGAGACGAGCGGCGGAAGGGGAACAGCATTTCGGGCATTATGTCCCGGCGGAGTTTGTTGGTGTCGATGACCTCAGGGTTCCGCAGGGTTCCGATGTCGAAGGCCTGCGTGTCCTCCTCTCCGCCGCCCTCATCGTTGTAGCTGACCACGTTGTCCCTGACGTCTTCTTTTGAGATGATCAGGGGCTCCTTTTTCTTTTGACGCCGCAGGGCCGCAAACAATACCACAATCACTATGGAGACAGAGACAGATGAATGAAATGGTATCATCAGCATGGTGCAAATCAAGCTGAACAAAGCTCTGTGATAGTCACGCATTCTGAATGTCACAGAGATACCTGACACTATAGAGGCGAAGCAGTGCTTCCTACAGGGTTTTGCTCGATAATATGTCTTAAAACATTATAATTTGTTAAAAGTGTTATTTCATTCAGAATAAAAAAAAAAAAACATTTGTTATAAGGTGGGGGGGAAAAATATTTTTAAATTACAGATAATTCCACTACTAGCTAGTTTTTCAGGGACATTCTCATTCCGAGCATTTGTTTGGATAAAATCTTGACTATGCTGAAAATAAAATTGGATTGGAAACAATTTGCACTCAGAAAGTGCAATTTCTTCTCAGAAAGTAGGACATTGCACAAGTAATTACAGTGTCTTTCAAAAATAAAATGTGTTCTATGTTCCCTTTTTCAGTGCAGGATGAGTGATCAATGTTGTTGGTCCAAAATATATTTTTTGTAAATTATAACTTTGTAATTTTGTCTTTTAGGAGTGTGGTAGCATAGAAATGGCTTCAAAGCTGCCACACATGGACTAAAAGCTTGGAATCGACTTGACAGAAAGATGTCAGAAACTGATCAGTTTCATTCAGACCAGACTTTGTGAGTATTTTTGTTTTTCTCCAATAACTAGATTTGTTAAAAGGCTCACAAGAGTCAGTCATTTACAATTCAGACTAAACTGGTCACACTGTGTTTGTTTTGGTAAATCTGATTCATTTTAGTGAGTTAGTTCATTCAGATTATTCATTTACATGAACGTTTCATTGATTTGTATGTGGTAATTTAGGTCCTAATTTTACAGCAAAATATTCATTAAAATGCCTTAATATGTTTTTTGACTGCGATACAACTTGATCTGTTTAATGCTAATTATAAATTATGTAAATTATGTAATCGTATATATTTCAATATATGTAATTCTATATTTGCATTATATATATATATATATATATATATATATATATATATATATATATATATATATATATATATATATATATATATATAATTTTTAAAAAATTTTTTATAGCAGCTATAAATTAAAAAAGTTACTTTTAGTTGGTTGCTTGTACACTGTTAAAGAAGTATTACAAATAGAAATATTATTGGAATATATTTTACAAGAAAATACTATTTTAGTCTTTCTACTTCAAAATGTCACATTTAAAGGGATAGTTCACCCAAATAATGAAAATATGTTTGTTTTTTTTTACCCTCAGCTTCATCCAAACATATTTGAATTTGTTTCTTCTACTGAACACCAAAGAAGATCCATTTTGAAGAATGTTGATAACCAAACTGCCATTGACTTACATAATATAGGGGGAAAAAATTCAAAATACAAATAAATACTATGAAAGTCAATGGCTACCGTCAACTGTTTGGTTACCAACATTCTTCAAAATATCTTCCTTTATGTTTAACAAAAGAAAGAAACGTGAGTAAATAATGACACAAGTTTCAGTTTTGGGTGGATTATCCATTTAATTCAACGTGTTACTTGCCATTTCATTGTAATCATTTGTGAAATTTACTAGCAGTTTCTTATTGAAAATTGTTTCTACACCATTTGTTTTCAGAGAAGTGTAGCTTGATGAAATAGCAAATAGTTTCTCCATCAATCAATTGGGACAGTATGTTCACAACTCACAAAACACGTCATTGCTTGTGCTGTAACGTGGTAAAAAAAGATACAAAGTACATTTGCTATGGCTACAAGCAAGATCCACACCAAAGAGTGAGACCTTATGATTAAGTTTAGTTAATTCAATCAGGGAGAGACCCGACAATCGATGGCTAGGACAATAAAATTGTCACAGTCACTGAAAACAGAAGGACCGAGTCAGCTAAAAAAAGCAGACAATCTAGTTTGCGGCTGCTCAGGGAAACAGAAAGCGTGCATAATCTCAATCACTGCGGCGAGAAGAAAGCACTGCCAGAGAATCATAGGCTGTTCTTGGATGGCTAAAGCGGAGCACTCAGATAAGAACCCAGTGAGCAGCGCGCAGCACTACAGAGAGCTTGGCTGAAGATACAGAGGAGTGTGTTTCAAAAGGTGTCATGCGCTTAAGGTACTTATGAATACAGAAGAGACACACACACTGTAATGCAGATAAAGACTTATACTGCCTGGAGCAACCACCTTGCAGTTTTAAAATTGTGTAAGAAATAAAAAAGGGTTTGCGTTCATCTCTTATGCATTACAAATTTGCAAGGTTTCAAAGGGCACAGATGTAAAGCACCACAGTAAGGCTTGACATTTTTTCTTTTTTTTCATGTCCTTGCATTTTAACAGTAATTTTGTTTTGTTTTTTAGAGTAAGAGCATGGCGATAATAATAATAATAATTATTATTAGTATTATTATTATTTAAAAATACTTTATGCAAAGTACTGTTAAAATGCAAGGACATAAAAAAAAGAATGTCTCAAGCCTTACTATGGAGCTTTTCATCTATTATTGTATTCTATTTTAATCTATTATTATTGATTGATTGATTGAGTTATGATTTGGTCATGGTGATAATGATTACAATTATTTATTTATTTATTTATTGTGGAATTGAAAGGTTAAACTTAATACTGAGCCATTTGTCAAATCATCTTGTTTTATGTTACACAGTTTATGGCTGTTGATTAATTTGCAATTAATTCAATTAATAAATAGATTAAACATTTTTATCACTTGACAGCCCTAGTTATAATTCATGGAGATATTACTTAATTATGAATCATGTTTTGCAAACTGAGTGGAATCATTCAATAGAGAGAGAGAGACAGGGTCACATCGCAGTGGAGTCAGCTGTCTTAACTGGCTTGTGTACTGCAAACACATACCAGCTTCATCACTGTGTCTCATTTATTTTATCACTGCGACTCTGTTCCTCTTTCGGGCTCTGTCTTTTAATTTATTTTGAAAGATGAAGCTCGCGATTATGGTAAGGGGCATTACATTTCCAACGAGTGCGTGCGGTGTTCGGCCAATCCCAATGCACTGGGTCAGCTGGCCAATCAGAGCAGACTGCGCTTGTCGGAAGGAGGGACTTTGTAGAAAACGAAGCGTTTGAGAGAGGCGGGGCATAGAGGACCTACAATAATGTACAGTATTTGAAAAATAATGTGTTTTTTGAACATTAAAGCACGTCAACATATTCTGTTACCCCAAATACACAAAATAATGATCTTTAAAAAAGCATCATATGACCCCTTTAAAATCTATTGCTATCCCTTCAGTTTAAATTATATGTCTTTATATAATTGATAGAATGCAGCATTCATAGAATTATAAATTGCAGAACAATATATTTATTCAACTGGGAATGTGTTTTTTTTTTTCTTCAATTTTCATCACCTAAACTGTCAACACAGTTAATTTGCTTAAAATATTTGATTTAGTATTTTTGTTTAATTACACCTTTTTAAACGAAACAAAATTGTATGATCTTATACCCCCTTCCAAGTAAAGTGCTTTGAGTACCCAGAAAAGTGCTATATAAATGTAACAAATTATTATTAATTTTGTAAAAATCAGATGACACTGTTTAAGAGGAAGGCTTTTGTGCTGAAATGCATCATACTAAAGTATTGGCAACGTTTGGTGATTTCACCACATAATGTTCATATGTTGAGCAAGAAGAGATGAGAAGAGGGAATTATGGTCCTAAAAAGGGAACAGGTGCTGTAGTTTGTAGCTTGTTTTTCCTGTTCAGTGGCTGCTCTCTCCTCCCAGCAGGTAATCGGAGAGTTCGCCCCTGCCTCCCACTCAGGTGTTAATTATGAAGAAGGAACGGTGGGGGGCAACATGCTGTGTTCTGCCCAGCCTGGGGGCCTGTGGTGTGTGCAGGGCTCATTCTGTGATCTGGAAGGGAAATGGTGGTGGAAGAGTGTGGGCTGGATGCGGATATTTCTCGCTCTGGCAGCGTAAACCAGCTACTTCCTCTATTAGTGTATATTCTGGGCTTTTCATTAGCCAGCTCATCAGAAAAGGGTGCAACAGAAAGAATGTAAAATGAGGGGGAAATGGAGAGCAGGAGCCTGTGAAAAAAAAAAAAAAGAGGAAGGCAAAAGCAGAATGATGCAATATTTTGTTCTGGAAAATCTCTACCCTCTGTAACCTGTCCACTCAGCGCCAGTGGACGGGTTTAGGGGAAGATACTGAAAATGGAGAAGGATAAAGGGGAAAATATCCATATTAAGTTTGCACAAAGAGGATCAGTGGTGGACTAGATGGTGCCTGCACAGGGGAACAGCAGAATATGAGATGGCAGTAGTGGTTGAACACACGGCGCATAATTGTCTGTGTTGTGTAATGGGTAGAAACATATACATATAGACATATAATTTTGGGTTGGAATTTAAAGGGGCCATGTACTTACAGATTTTTACTTTTTCTTAATGTTTGCTTATAATGTTTTATAATATATGTGTGTGAACAATATATAACATGCTATATTTAAAAAGTACAAACTAAAATGTTTTAAGGTTTTAAAGGAAGTCTTGTATACTGACTGTATTTTTAATCAAATGCAGTCTTGGTAAGTAATATTGTGAAATATTATTATAATCTACAATAATTGTTTGGTTTGGTTTTAATATTTTAAAATGTAATGTATTCAGCAGCTATTATTTCAACCTCAGTGTCACATACTCCTTCAGAAATCATTTTAATCTGATTTGGTTCTCAATTATTATCAATCGTTATGTCTCATTGTTCAAATATTAATTATGGTTCTTATTTGTATCAACATTGGAACCACTTTTTTTCAGCATTCTTTGATTTATAAAAAGGTCAAAAGAACAGAATTTATTTTAATATAAATCTTTTGTATCATATTGTCTTGGCTGTCACTTTGATCAATCACTTATTCATTTCAATAGTGTTTTGTTTACTTTATGACTTATTAATGTACTTTATGTACTTATTTTTAGTACTGTAACTTGTGTAGTGTAAGAGTAGTAGAAAAGTTAACTACTTTTTCCAAAAGTTCAACTATGAGTTATAAGAAGCCTGTAGCTTGACATTTTAAAATAGCTTCCCAACACCATCTTTGATACAGTCCATCGCAAACAGAAAAACACGACTCGTGGGTCTCAGGATGCTGTTGGTGAATTTTAATGAGTTTAAGAACTGAGGCACCATGACTTAAAAGTGATAAATTATGAAGCATTTTTGATGTCTTCATAAACTTTGACAGTTTTTAAACATCTCTTGCTGCTTTGCTTTGTACTTTAAAGACAGAATCTATAAAGAAAGTCATTGGCTGTAAAGTTAGACCAGACATTGCATATGTAATGCATTCGAGAGGTCAGCGGCAAACAGGTTCAAAGTTGAATTTGTTAGAACTTTGAGAGCCATGTCAAAACACTTGTCATTATAAGTTTACTTGCAGCATTGCTATTTTATTTCAGAATAGATGGTATGTCTTTAATATGTATAAACAAATGCCGGTTTCGGCCAGCATAAATAATAGATATCTAAGTCAACCTGAAGTTCCTGAATATATTCAGTTTAACCGAATCATACAGAAGCAGATAATAGAAAATGCAGAACGATGACGGATTGCCTCGGGTTAGATTGGAGACTTGAGAGATGCACTCACCAGCAGTTTTAACAATTACTTATTGATGGATGTTTTAACTTAAGCACAACATATTTTTCCTTTTCTCTGCAGAAACAACACAGACACATGCTGTTCAGAACCAGCTGCGCTTTCATACTGCATTACCTTCCACAAGTGGCATTTTAGGACGTCAGGAAGGAGCATGCGACCTACTTAAGCCCCAGAAGAACAAAAAGGCCTTTTTGTCAATTGCATACATTTAATAATGAAAGCTATTTTTCCGCACCGATGCACTTTCTAAGGAAAGCAAAGAACGAGAGAGAGAGCACCTACAATAATGTCTTAATGGGGTGCTCTACTTTTTGATTGTCTGGAGGAAATATTTGGAGAAAATTCAAAGTAAAAATGAATAAATAACAAAATAAACATCACAAGGAGGATGCTGCACGGCCCACACTGTGCTGCATCATCAGAATATCAGGACAAGGGGTCAGGATACAGTACGCTCTGCTCGCCAGACGCATCGCTGAGATGTTACAAGATCTGTTATATCTTTGGGGTTGTTTTGTGACTAAATATAAAAAATATATATTGTATTAAGCAGGCTGCATCGGTCTAGAAAATATATTATCAAATGTGTCACAAAAATGTATGGTCTCCAGATTTCCCTAGAAGTGGAATTTCAGTTTTTCTTTTTTAATAAATCTGCAAAAATGTCAACAATTCTGTGTTTTTCTGTCAATATGGGGTGCTGTGTGTACATTAATGAGGAAAAAAAATGAACTTAAATGATTTTAGCAAATGGCTGCAATATAACAAAGAGTGAAAAATTTAAGGGGGTCTGAATACTTTCCGTACCCACTGTATATATATATGTCCGTCCGTCCTTCTTTCTGTCTGTCTGTCTATCCATCTATTTGTAAATTATGTCTGTATTTTCTGTCTCTGTGTGTGTGTGTGTGTGTGTGTGTGTGTCTGTCTGACAGTTTATGTCTAATCCGATTCACTAATGTTAACCTTAACAAATTGTACCTTATTGTGTAGTGTTAAATTATCTACTGACTGTTACATCAAATTTTTTAAATAAAATTATTTAGATTTTAATATACCTTTTCAAATCTATGTGTAAGACTTGTAAACAAAAACTGATAAACCGGCCAGTTCTGATCGTCCATGAGAACGTGTAGAACATAATGTGTGGCCACTTCTGAAGTTCACAGCCAATCACAACACTGTGCCAAAGTACAGTCTCCTCCTCATCAGAAGGTGATCAATGTATCTTCTGAGTAAACACACCCTGTTCTGAGTCTGCAACCCAGACACATATACCTCAATCATAGAAACAACCCGCTTTCGCCATAATCGTTCTCCTGTCTCTGTTTGAGCCTTGTTGCTTTCACTGCAGAGCCACAGTGTTTGTACTGTTTGGTGGGTTCAGTCTGTAATATAGTTACATCAGTGCATATGTCGCTTATAGATGATGAAATGCTCCTGAGAAAGTGCACTACATAATGATTAATATCATGCATTAGAGTGAACAAAAATGACACATGTAAAGAGGGCTGCTATGTTCAGGGTGGCCTGAACCAGATCCAGATTAACCATATGGACAATTGGGCATCTGCCCAGGGGCCCCGTGTTCAGAGAGGCACCATGCAGGGCCGTATAAAGGTTTTTGTAAAATAGCTAAATGCCCCAATGCTGTATATTTACAGGAGTTCAACACTTACTCAGTAGTATTAAAATGCAGAGTAAGATGGCCACCAGGGCTCCAGTGCTGAGTCCGGCTGAGAGCAGCAGGGCTTCGGTGCTGCACGTCTGTACATTCCCACGGCTGTCACAGGCGCAGACACGGACCGTCAGCGTGCTGGTACTGCTCTGGATGGGGTAATCGTTGTCTGAGATGACAACAGGCAGCAGGTATGCGCTCATCTCTCTCCTGTTGAAGCCGCCCCGGCGGGTCAGGATCCGCGCTGTGTTGTCTATAAGACAATGATGTCAAGATTAATATAGATACTGAGACTAGTGTGCAATATAATGTGTTGTTTTCAAATCTTATGTATTGAGTTGGGTTTTTAGCTAGCCAATTGCTTCTTTAGCTAGTTGCATTTTTGGCATTGTGAATAATATATTTTGACTTCATTAAAAGACAATAACAGCTTGAGGGTACAGCAATGCAGGTCAATGTGCATCTGTCACCTAATAAAACATACTGATTGTTTTCAAACAGGTTCACCAATTCACCCCATCTGATTTCATTTTCAGAGTAAAAAAAAGAAGATATAAATATATACATTCTCACAAATGTGAGAAATTCGCACAAATTCTCCTAATTGTGGCTTTGTGATTTGCATATGTGAGTTCATATCTAATTATGTATTTAAAAATTTGTGCAAATAATTGCAACTTTATACCTCAGTTGCAAAAGTTTGGGGTCCGTATGATTTTTTATGTTTTTGATAATACAGTGAAAAGTTAATAATAATAAGGTGAAATATTACATACGATAACTGTTTTCTATTATAATGTATTTAACTCCTGTGATGTAATGGTGAATTTTTTAGTAGCAATTACTCCAGTCTTCATTCACGTGATCCTACAAAAATCATTCTGAGAAATATTTGATACCATACATGTCTTTACTGCCACTTTTGATCAAATGAATAAAAATATCAATTTATTTAAAAAACAAAACAAACAAACACTGAATGGTATAGCGTATATCCACAATGTGCCTTTTTATATCTTTCAGAGCATTTTTTTTGTTTAAACTTCAATTTATATTTGGAATTGCAACCTTTTATCTCAGCATCTATATGTTACATTGTATTTCTTATTTTAAACTTATCTCACCATTAGCTGTTTTACTTTTTAATTTGATGCAGAAATGGGTTTCCATTAAATTACCTTCATTGTCGAAGATGGTGAAGTTTGGATTGATGGAGCTTAGACTGAAAACAAACTTGTGCCCGACAAGAGGCTCATCAGTGTCCACAGCACTTATGGTCTGGATGAGCTGGAAACATAATAAGCTAAAATGATTCACCTTATTCTGATTCAAAACAGAAATGTGTAATCTAACAAAAGCATCAGTCATAAGTGTAGCTCTAAAGCTTTACGGAACAGCAGAAGTAACAAAGCAAGCAGAAGCATTTAGTAAAATATTTGTGTGAAACAATGAATAAACCTTAAACTGCAGCATACCTGACCAGCTTTGACATTCTCACAGACAAAGGTCTCGTAGTACATGGCGAATTCAGGTGCATTGTCATTCACATCGCGCACTTTGATAAACACCGGCACTCTGGTTTGCAGGGCAGTACCTAGACGCCAATGATGAATGCGTTTCAGCAATTGTGGAAGATATGCAGTTTGCATTCAAGAGTCTGAATTTGTCTTTCAGCCTTTTACTCCGGGCATACATTCTTCTACCGAGAATGCAGAAAGCATGAATTAAACCACAATTCAAGGTGACAGTTTGATTTTTGTCATCAGTCATTTATTCTATTGCTGTCGTTTTAGCCATTTCTGAAAATGTCTTGAGGCTCTAAAAGTTTTAGTCCACCTGTGATAACATAGTTATTTTAACAGGTTTGAACAAACAAAAAAAACTGAAAATGAATTTCAGACCATAACTAGTTCACGATTTGAAATTTAAATATTGAATTAAAAGGCAAGAGCTTTCCGCATTGTTATAAGTAGACCTTGCGGCATTGTCCCATTTCATATCAGCAGTGATCCAGCAAAGGCTCACAATGCAAACTTACTGAGTTCGGTTGCCAGAACAGAGATGTTGTGCCATTTGGAAGATTCTCTGTCCAGAGCCTGCAGTGTGCTGATGGTCCCATTGTTGGAATCGATGCTAAACAGTCTCTCCAGATCTGTGTGTCGATCGATGGTGTATCTGAAACAAGAATGACGGTAATGAATGCGAGACAATGGAGCTCTGATTATGCCCAGGCACAGGGACAGAACGTCCTCAGTGTTTTAAAGTGCTGTAAACACGGCCCCAGGAAGTGAAAAAGGGTACATCACACACCCATAATTAAGGGCCCAGAACAGTGCCTGCGCAGGCCGCCAAATAAATCAGCCCAGACTGGTTTAATTTTCCTTCAAACGGTGGGACATATTTGATTTGACATCTCTATTAGAGAACAAATTTGTCCTCGTCAAACACATTGATGTTAGTTACACACCGAGCACAACAAACTATACATTGTTCCTCTGCGTTTTAAGACCACGGCTACAAACTACCCTGATGAAAAGACCAGATATTGAATTCTCATGCCGGTCCGGACTGGTTTACAGCATCTATAAAAAAGTATTCACCCTTTTGGACGTTTTTATGTTCTGCTGTTTTACAGCACTGAATAACAGAGGATTTCATTTGCCTTTTTGACAGGGTTTACCAGAAAAATATTTTGTGTTATCGTGGACACATTTCTGCTAGTTGGTTAAAGTTATTAAGCACAAAATCATTATTTGATGCAGAACTTTGCATTTGGTTTCTTTCGATTTATTCATTTGACTCAACTGGCCACACCTCACAAGAAGTTGAACTGGAATTTGCATTGGAATAAAAGGAAGTGAAGTTTACTGAAATGCAATTAAAACAAATATAATATTTAAAAATATATTATTTATAAAAAAATAAATAAAATAAAACAAAGACTATACTGGAGTACATTTTAACTTAAAAATATTATTTTATTGTGTTATTTATGGTTTCTTTGTAATTATTTGTCAAATTTACTTGCAATATCTGAGTAAATGTTGTTTTAAAGTAAATCTTAAAGACACTATTTTTTTCTGTGTAATGACATTCTAGAAACGTATTTTTTTTACATAAAATTATATATATTTTTATTTTTTATATATTTGAATTATTTTATACCTTTTTAATTCAAATTCAATTTGTGAATTTAAAATGCTTTTTCTGGTCAAATCTTAATGATGTACAACCCTATAATATCTTTTATGTTCTTCAAGTATTTAAAAAAAAAAAACCTTCAGCTTTGCACATCTGACAATTAGAGATTTTCCCATTCTTCTTTTCAAAACTGCTTAACTTCTGACAGGTTTCATGGACATTACAATTCCACCCATAAATGCTCGGTTGGAGATCTGGACTCGGGCCACTCCAGGACACTAGCATAGTTGAGTTTTAGCCATTCTTGTATAACTTTGACATTATGCTTCTGGTCATTGTCTTGCTGGGAAACAAATATCCTCCTGCAGGTGTCTTGCAGACCCCATCAGGTTTTCCTCCAGGGCTTCAGTGTATTTTGCTGCATTCATTTTACCCTCGCAAGGCCTGCCGCAGAGAAGCATATATGCCCCTCAGCATGATGCTGCCACCACCATGATTCACAGTGGGGATGATGTGTTTCTGCCGATGCTCAGTGTTTAGCCTACACCAGACGTGGCTTTTATTTTAATGGCCAGCAAGCTCAATTTTAGCCTCATCAGATCATAGAACCTACTTCCAGCTGGCTTCAAAGTCTCCCACAGACCTTATGTAGCCGACATGTCATATGACAGTTTTTTAGCACCTGCTTTCTCTTTTCCACTCTGACTGGTGAAGGACACAGGTGAAAGTTGGCAGTTGTCTTTCCAATTTCAGGTACTAGCGCGTGTAACCTTTTTCGGAGTTTCCATCTTGCACAATCTCTCAGTGTTTGAGGACATCCTCCTCTAGGTTGATTTACAGCTGTGCCACACTCTTTCCATTTCTTCATTATTGATTTTAACTGTACTCCAGGGGACATTAAATTACTTGAAAATCTTCTTGTAATCACCCCATGCCTTATGCATTTCAATTACTTTCAGCTGGGAGTGGTTTTATGGTGCAAGTTCTGCCACAATGACTCACCAGAAGTTGAACTTTTTAGATGGAAGTGTATTTAGATTATATATATATATATATATATAATGTGTGTGTGTGTGTGTGTGTGTGTGTGTATACACACATACAGTGGGTATAGAAAAGAATCACCCCCCTTCAAAATAATCACATGTTGTTGCCTTGCAGCCTGAAATGAAGACAGACAGTTTTTTATTTTATCTACATGTATTTACTCAGTGCAACTTATAACATCCAAGTGAAAGATATAACACCAACATGTCAGAAATAAATAAAAAAACAGAATCACTGAGTTGGAAAAGGGCACACCCCCTTGTGTCTGTATTTTGTTGAACCACCTTTTTGCTTTAATTACAGCCTTTAGTCTGTTGCAATATGTCTCTACTAACTTTGCACATCTACACTTTGCAATATTTAGACTTTGCTCTTCCTTCCTAATTTCAATTGGTGAGCGTTTGTGGACTGCAGTCTTCAAGTCATTCCACAGACTTGCAATGGGGTTTAAATCTGGGCTCTGACTAGGCCATGCAGGGACATTCACCTTTTTCTCCTTCAACCACTGTGTGCTTGGTCTTTGTCATGTTGTAAGGTAAACCTTATTCCCATCGACAACTTTCTGGCAGAGGGCAGCAGATTTTCCTCAAGAATTTGATTGTATGCTGCCCCATTCATTTGGCCTTCTATCCTGACAAGTGCTCCAGTCTCTGCTGCAGAGAAACACCCCCATAACAGGATATTACCACCTCCATACTTTACTGTAGGAATGCTGTTATTTGAATGGTGAGCTGTATTGGATTTCTGCCAGATATATAATTTGGTGTTGAGGCCAAATAATTCAATATTAGTCAGATGACCATAACACCTTTTTCTATGTGGCCTCAGAATCTTCAAGATGCGTTTTGGCAAAGCTCAGTGACTGTATGTGGCCTTTCTTGAGGAGTGGCTTTTTTATTGCAACCCCCTTTCTTGTGATATTGTTGTCACATGCACACAATGACCACTCTTTGTCATAAATTCCTGTAGCTGCTTCAGGTCGCCTCCTGGCTCTTTCATCCAGTTTGGAGCGACGTCCTGATCCAGGGAGGGTCTGTGTTGTATCAAATACCTTCCACTTCTTAATAATAGACTTCACTGTGCTTCTAGGCATTAATACACCTTTTACATTTTTTTGTATTCATCTCCTGACTTGTGCCTGTCCACAACTTTATCCCAGAGATATTTTGACAGTGCCATGCCACCCATAGTTGATTCTTGATTGTTTGTTTCAGTTGCACTACCAAGGACTGAAATGCTCCAGGAAAGCTGTTTTCATGCTGAGCTAATCAAAATGACCACAGCTGATCACAGTTGAAAGTCAAATGGCTTTGTGTGAATTATATTAGATCACTTTATTTATTTATTTGTTTGTTTGTTTGTTTGTTTGTTTTTGGGCATTTGAAATGTACTTTCCATTTTTCAATGTGAAAACACCAATTATTTATGTCAGTGACTAAGTATAATATTTATATTGAATGCATATTGAATACTTATGACATTTGCAGTTTTGCATTTCATGTTCTGAAATATTAATTTATTCATTCATTCATTTCACTGTGAATGTTTCCAGTAAATAACAAAACATTGTTGCAACACCTGCACACTAGCATTCAAAACCTGATGGCCACCTATGTTTTCTTTTTTTGCCTTCAGCAGAATAGTGGTACCTTGGTGCCAGTAAGTGCTAATTTTTAAGTAATCAATTATGCATTATGCATTGAATAGACAGCTGGGACGAACACCTTCCTAGCCGAAGCAACTAGCAACTATCAATTATCCTTAAACGCATATTGCATGTTGTGAATTTTAAAGTGGCTCGTTTGAAAGAGCCTGCATGCTAATCACTCTGTTGATCCCCTGTCTTTTGCTTTCATGAAATAAGAAAAGGAAATCTTTCCTATTAAACCCATTTATCAATGTCAGCTTACATATTATGCTGACATTTAAATATGCAACTGAGTATGACGTGCATGAGTAAGCCAAAAGGACATGCTTTTCAGACAATCGCTCGCAGTGCGCATGCGGACAGGAGACGAAAGACAAGACATACTCTTTCACACCAACTTTGTGACTTATAAAAGTCTGAATTCAGAAAGGAAAGGAGAGGGGAGATAAAACAGCGCCTGTATTCATCTTGCCAAACTTCCGGAGGGAAATCACCAACTGAGGCCCCATGAATAATTTGCTTTTCCCCCGTCTTCACACCCATACACACGCACACGCTTGGGAACATGTTGATGGATTGGATTTAACCGAGCACAAAACATCTGATCAACAACCAAAATGTGGAAGGCGAAGACGTGTTCTACTTGATTTTCATACACCGTAATGTACTTTATGTTCTGATGCTTTGGGAGGCACTTTTCAAGGTGTAATTTTGCTGTTTTCCCCGCTGTATCTTTTATTTGTGTCTAAGGTGAAAGCAACCACTTGTTTGTTCGCTGCATATTCAAAAGCATTTAATTACTGAGTCCCTCTGTTCAAATCTCTGCTGGACCATTAAATTGCCTGTTACAATGGCTAAGATTATCTGTTGACAGAAGCCTCCTTATTAGCTAAATAAGCCTTTGGATGGTAATTAAACTAATATAATAAGTGCAACAGAAAGCAAGTGCATCACAAAGCTATAAGCATTAAAACATTAAAGGGGTCATGTCAAGCAGAATCAAGTTTCCCTTAAACCTCTGAGATAAGAGGATTCATTGTACTAAAAAAAGCAACTTTCAAACACTCAAAATGTCCTCACTAATTATTCATTATTATGAATAATATATTTTTTTAAATCATTTAATAATTAAAATGTGTGTATTTATTCTAAACGAGTCCAATTAATATTATAATTTTAAAATAAAAATAATTAATATAAAAATAAAATAGTATTAATATATTATTCATACATAATTTATGTAGTTCTCATATACAGTGGGTACGGAAAGTATTCAGACCCCCTTAAATTTTTCTTTATTTTTTAATAAATCTGCAAAAATGTCAACAATTCTGTGTTTTTCTGTCAATATGGGGTGCTGTGTGTACATTAATGAGGAAAAAAAATGAACTTAAATGATTTTAGCAAATGGCTGCAATATAACAAAGAGTGAAAAATTTAAGGGGGTCTGAATACTTTCCGTACCCACTGTATATATATATATATATATATATATATATTACAAAGTGATCTAAAATAATTCAGAATATGAAATCCAAAATTAATGATTGCCAATGACTTTACCAATCGGTCATTGGCTCTTTTATTTAGAAGGCGGGACTTATTCTGCCATATTGCGTGTTGCATTTTCTCCCATTCATAGTAATCTGAGTGCACTAGCTTGGTATTTCTATAGTCTTTGATATTGGATGATTAGAAAATTGAGGTAAGGAACAAGGCATTTCCTAAAGGCATAATAGCATTAATATCATTTAATTCTAGAGCTAATGAGTAAGTGGGTAAGGGCTTGTGTTTTTTAATAGATACTTACTTGACCAGGTGATTGATTGTGTCAGGGTCTCGAGCTGACACCGTGCCAACCGAGCTGCCGGCAGGGGTGTCTTCATCCACCTCAAAAATGTACAGAGTCCGACTGAAGACCGGAGGTTCGTCCACATCCGTGACTGTGATCCGGACAATCGCCGTGTCGCTGAAAGGCCCCAGTAGCTCAAAGCGTCGATCTATATGTGTGTTGGTCACCTGCACCCGTAGTGAGTACAACCTCTTACTCTCGTAATCTAGTTGCTGAATGGGAGAAAGGTTACAAGAGCAAAGATACGATGTTAGTCCGGTCTTCATGACCTGTCTGAATAAAGGAAGGCTTACTTTTCTGATATGTTTCAGCTCAGGTCTATTCGGTCGCAGATTAACGACATGCTGTAGCAACGCCACCCTAAACTTTTCTAAATCTAAAGCTCGTTTTTGCATACAAGTGCTTATCGCTCTCCCTTTTCTTTTGAGTTGAATGTCTTTTTTTATAAAGGCATGGCATAGTGCTTTAATGCAGCCTTTTAATTATGAAACGATTAAAGACTCAAGGTACAATCTTTTACCTTTCGCCCATTCAGGCCTTCTTCCATAGCTATCTTTCATTCTAGTTTAAGCAATAAGATTTGCATAATTGCCTGAGCCTCGTCAAAGCCTGACCTGACAGAGAGAGGAAATAAGCTATAGGCAGATTTCAGGAGGAAAATAGATCCCTGTGCCACACAAAAGGGAAAAAGGGACTTTTGGGGCTGTGAATAGAATTAAGCACCTTTGTAAAGTTGATAGGACACAAAGGCTTCGATTTAGGGGATTACTTTCTAAGCACTTTGCTTCGTATGGGTGCGTGCGTGCATATGAAAGAATGAGAGAACGAGGGAAAGATCGTCGGCTGGTGTGACTTTTATTTCCAACCACCGACTTACAGTGTGATGTTTAAAACATTAAATATAGAGCCTGTTTACCTTCTTCACTGTTATCACCCCTTCCTGGCTGGTGCTGTCCGTGATGATATTGAACACGTCTTGCCCGTCGCCGTCCAGGATGGTGTACCACATCTCTGCGTTCTCTCCCACATCCGCATCATACGCGTTGATCCGGCCCACCGGTGATCCGATTCCAGCCGACTCTGGAGTGGAGAGATGGTAGGTACCTGGAGAAGGAGAGCAAAATAAATCAATTGAGTAAACAGTCAGGTGTTTGTACGAACTCTTTGTTCTCGAGCGAGGCGCTTCGGTGTGCATTTGTCTATTTGTTTATCCTTCTCTCGGGGGAAAAGCGGAGCTGCCTCTCAGTGGTTATTCTTTAATAGAATTTCAGCTCCGATGAGCCACTGGAGGTTCTTTTTAAACCCAGTTTGTGGAAACTGTTTCTGATGTGGCTCTTGTATTGGACTTGAGACTGTGGCAAAGAGAGAGGGATTATCACCCCAAATGAAGCTCCCGCTGTGCTCTCTTTCTCTCTCTCCATCTCTCTGTCTTCTAGTTTCTATCCTTCTTTCTCTATCCACCCTTCTCTCTCACTCTCTAAAAGCCTCTTTCTGTGGACATTTTGTTCTGGGTTCACATTGTGACTCATCCTGGTCAGAAGGAGAAACATTGAATTAAATAATAATAATATTTTTTAGTAAAAAAATCTTTGTCTAGTGAAACTAAGAATGTTGGCTTGACTACAAAAAAAAAGAAAGAAAAAAATTATTTAAAAAAAGTTATACTATCGGCCTTATGGTGGTAGATAAAAATAAATAAATAATAATAATAATCTTTTGTGGCCCAAGGTGGAAGAACACTTTATTTCCCAGAATGCATCACCTGAGTTGAATCTGTGTTTCTTTCTAATTCAAAATCCAATACTAATGTCTCCTTCAGGTCAACATATGCATGTGAGAGGAGAGTTTGTGCTGTCTTACTGTGCGGGAATCGAGGAGGACTGTTGTTGACATCCTGGAGAGTGATGTTGACTGTAGTGGTCCCGGAGAGACCGCCCATCTGTCCAGCCATGTCCTTAGCCTGAATCACCACCTGATAGTTCTCCCGGTTCTCTCGAATCATGTTCGGAAGCGCTGTCCTTATGACGCCTGACAGGGTGGATGGACACAGGTTTCGTTAGGTGCTATCTAATGAGCTTCTCTGACTTCATTATTTATATCTTAATGTCACGCTAAAAAAGAAGGTTGGACGAGAAAAAAAAAAACATAACCAAGGAAATTAATTCCCTGCCTTGGGATATTTTAAAGAGCAAGTTTTGATTGGGTAGGATGTCAATCTTCAAATGATGTTGTGATAAGGTTATTAGTACATGAGAGCAAAATGTATGTATTTTTAAAGCAACACACTTAAACTGTACTAAATTCACTAAAATATATATATAAAATTAATTATTACATTAGAATATAAATAAATTATACCAATAAAAAAGGCACACATGTGGATAATACACAGTATAGAATAAGAATAATCTAAATAATTTGTTGAGAAAATGTCCCTGTCATGTTTCATTTCAAAATAAAAATAAAATAAAAAACGTAATTATATAACATACATGTATAGACTCATTACTGTAGTAGTAATAATAATAATACTAATAATAATAATGAATTCTCATTAATATAGTCTGCAAACAAAATTTAAAACCACCAAAAAGTATTTCTTATTTTAATATAGTTTAATTTAATTTACTAAAATAACTGAAACTAAAACTGAAATAAAAAAATGTATAACATCTATATAGACTATAAATAAATAAATAAATGACAAAAACACATAACAAAATTACAACTTTAAAATTAAAATGAAAAAGGAAAATATAAAATGAAAAACTACAATAACACTGATAATCTAAACTAGTATTATTATTATTAAAAACATTTAATATTGTAATGTCTGTAGTTTATATAGATTGTAATGTAGATTTTAACTAAATAATATCGTATTTGTTTTACTTTAATACAGCAAAATACTGCATACAGCAATAGGAATCATCATTGAAAATAATGAAACAGTACAAGTAAATGCAACACAGAGGGATTTTAAAGATTCCTAAATGTGGTCTTCATTTTCTTTATGCAAAATATAATTTATTATCTTTTTTGGTTTTAGGGTGAAATATGATCAGGGCATTTTCTCAACAGGCGTTATGCAATTCACCCACACATATATGAAACTATGTTAGCAAATCCTGTATCACCTTACTATCATATTCCATCTTTTAATCATTTCAAATCATGCTTGTTCTCTCATCTTTTCCCAATGTACCTGTTTCAGGTTCAACTGAGAAATATGGCTGGCCCTGCAGTATGCTGTAAACCAGCCTGGCACTGTTTCCATATGCTTCATCATCTGCATCAGAGGCTGTAACTCTTAATACAAATGCACCTTGAAAGAAAGAGAGCAAAAGGGAATTATAGAGAAAGGTATTTCAGAGCCCTAACATGACTGCAAAACATGATCCCCACATCCAGTATTAAAACCTCAACCATGATCAAAGCAGCACATTCTAAAGGTGCACCATGAACAACAAATTCGCTATTAAAAATACTTGCTATTAGCCTATATGATGAGACCCCCACCCTCCCAGCGGGAGCAGTGATCAAGGCGAATGTATGATCACTCGTGCTTTCATCTTCTTTATCTCAGTGTGTTTCTTATCTAAATCCTACTCTCATAATTACTCCAGCTGCATGGTGAGATGGACATATCTTTAATTGTAGTTTTTCTTCCGGCTGCTCTCTCTGGGTCATCCCATTCATTTTCCGCTCTGATGGAATCTGCTGTATGTTGCTGGGAAACGTGACAATAATCTGCTCAAAAAAACATTGATTAGACCAATTAATCTAGAACTAACATGATTTTGGGGGGTTCGCTTTCAACTTGACACAGCTTTGGACAGCTGTAGGAGAAAAGAGTATAGTCTGTGATATGAAAAAGCTCTTCGAAATGTGACCATGGTGTAAAGCAGTGGTTCCCAACCCTGGTCCTTGAGGCACCCCAAGACTGCAGGTTTTGCATGTCTCCTTAATCAAACACACCTGATTCAGGTCATCAGCTCATTAGTAGAGACTCCAAGACCTGAAATTGGTGTGTCAGAGAAAGGAGACATGCAAAATGTGCAGTGTTGGGGTGCCTCCAGGACCAGGGTTGGGAACCACTGGTGTAAAGTAAACCAACTCATTTAATTGCTTATATTTAACTCTACAGTAATGTGCTACTATAGGCTAAGCAAAATATTAAATACTCACACTATTTGGGGACTATTATATGAGGATCAAAATGTATATATAATATATAATACATGTTTATAATAAAAATGTAGTATACGTTATTTATATTATTTATATTGCAATTATTTATATATTATGTATTATACTAATACTCAGGGCCTTCGCTAGTGGGGTGAAAGGTGGTGATGATTATAGGGGCCCACGGCTAAAGGGGGGCCCCCTGGAGATCTCAACCGACTGACTGAGGCCAGCCTAAAAATAAGCTCAGGACAGTTGACAGGTCACTGCTACGCATCGTCACGAAAGCTCATCATTTGCACGTGTTTTTAAGCCTTGCCAATTTAAACATTCAAAAGAGTTTAAAGCATTCAAACACAAGACGCAGAAAAACTCAGCAACACCGAACTGAGCTCTCCTTCGCGTCCTCCTGCACCTGAACAAACAAATACAAATCGCAGTTTAAATGCACAAACAGAAAAAGATGTGAAAGAGCCCAATTCAGTGCACGCATGGCGCACGCAGAGAGAGACGCGTATCAGAGCCTTAAACACCGAATGTGCCTCTTCTTGCTCTTGTACCGACAAATACATACAAAATGATGTCAAAATACCCCTCTTGGAGAGTATCCTTGAAAAAAAACTGTCAGTTATGTCTTAATTGAAAGTAAACAGTGGAGAAAGAAATCGGATATGTTTCATTATAATGGATGCACTGTCTCTTAAAGTGACCGCGCCTAATTTAGCCAATAGCTGCTGTCTGTCATTAATGTTAATCCAAGAAAATGAAAGAAAGAAAATCACTCACTGCTCTTGACTGAATTACTTTGTAGTTATAACAAAAACGAATCCACAGTCAAACCAAAAATTATTCAGACACCAGATATAATTTATTATATTTTTTTACTAGTGGGTGAAGGACACTATAGTTCATTTATGCAAAATAAAGTAAACTGTGACCTATTATACCCAAATATTCTTCATACTGTGGACTACCAGTAAAATGTATAAATTATTCAGACACATTGACCTGACCAAGTTTTGCTTAAGTGTTTTTTCTTTAATTGCTAGTGCGATCTTTTTACACCACAGACTGAACAAAATTAAGCATTGTTTGATAATTGGTCAACAAAGTATTGATAGTTGTGTAAATATCATCATACTAACAGGTATCTGAATTTTTGCTTGATTGTAATCAATTACATACCTTTCTATCAAAGTTATCTGGTATCATCCAGATGAATTTGTTCTGACACAGTGTAACTTCAAAGTTCTTGTCTTATTGTATTACCATTTTCTAAACTATAACAAATAAACTGTGATAATGTGAGAAATGTTGAAGGTGTCTGAATAAATTTAGTTTTGACTGTATATTGAATTTTTACTGTGAAGACTATGCAGTGCTAGTTTACATTTGATTATTCTGTTTCTGTACCTGGACAGCTACAAACTTGAAAAAACTTAAACATTGTGTAAATAGCACAAATAAATAAATAGAACGAACATACAAAATTAAACAATTTCAAACAGGGCCCACTGGTACAACCTGCTCTGGGGTCCCCGCAAACCCCAGCTATGACCCTGCTAATACTATACCATAATATCATTTTTTTACAGTTTTTCTTACTTTTTTTGTACTTAAAACTATATAAATATTGATTTATCTTTTAGTGATGTAATCTTATATTCATACTTAAAAAATATTGTATTCATTCAGTGAAAGAAAAGCTGTAAAAGACAGATTTTTCTCTCTGTTTTGTAGCTGTGCTGCTGAAAGTTTTGTAGTTTTTTCAAGTCTGTAGTACATCATTACCCACAATAAAAGTCTGATCTTGGTCTGGTCTCAGATAATAGCTAGAGACAACAACTTTTCTCTTGCCACATGAAGGGCAAAATCACTCCTCATTCGTAGTTGCCAACAACCACGCTTTCCATTACACTCACGGCTTCCTGTGAGTAGTTTCCTCAGAGGTTTCTCTGTTCTCATTTGTGTCCTACTGATTGTTCGTTCTTCTCAATAGACTTTAGAGGTGACTTCGCGGCTTCTCAGTCTCACCTCTGAAGGTGGACTGAATGCACATGTTGTTTCTGGCATGGATCAGCGGTGTCCTTGGCATCAACAAGACATCCACGAGCAGCGTTCGCTCTCTGAACGGCTCGAAGAATACTAATGAATGTCGAAACATCTGTCGCCCTCCGATCCCATTCCGATAACACGAAGAGAAACAGTCTCAGTCTTCATGTATGGCCAGATCTGATTAACGGCAGGCACGTTTTCAACACATGGCCGGTTTGTTCAGCTTAAACGCGAGTGCCACCGTGACCTCATGGTTTGGCAAGCATAGCCGTTTGTGAATTTGTACACGGTCGAGAGAAAGGAAGAGCTCAAGCGAAGTGTCAAATGAGCACGGTGTCTCATTTATGTTGCGGAGTACCGGGGATGATGCAACTTTGAACCCCATGGAGAAATACAGATAGGAAAGAGAGAACAAGCCTGACGGAAAGATAAATGGGAAAGAAAGGCTGAGCTTGGGTTTCCAGTGCAAAAGCCTGAAGGGAAAAGCCTGTGGTCCATTTACAAGGCTGCTTTCACCAGATTGTGTTGAATAAATAACTCTGCCCAGAGTGATGTGCTTTTACATTTGTGAAGGAAATAAATATCGATAGTGACAGTGAATCTGCCATGTATCACGTTAAGAATCTGAATAAAACAATATTGCATGTTCTCGGCTTGTAAAACACAGGTGCATTGAGACTTTCGACGGCAGAGACATAAAGGAGATCAGGCACTGTAATGTAAGAATCCAACTGAGATTCCCTGAAGCTTGAGTGGAGTGGTCTTGCATTCGTCTGAAAGGATGCCTGATAGTGTTTCATGCCTCAGGGATCCATCTTTCAACAAACACTGTTGCATTAAGATCTATTCTCCAATGAGACATCCAGAATCTAACATAATTTTGAATAACTTTACGCACATTTCATTTTTATGTCGCATTGTAAATGTCACGACAAGGATGTGACGATAGTGCTGATTGGCCGATGACACCTTAAGAATGAATACAGTCCCAAACCCTTCACTAGTGACTGTGACATGAAAGGCAACAGACAGGGGAAAATGTTAGTCCATTTCATGCTTCAAAAAATATTGGGAACTAGTGAAGCATCTACTATAATATAATTCAATATTTCTGATTTCTGACAGCATGTTGCTAAATAAATGGTGGCAAGAGGAAGATTGTACTCTATGAGGTGATGCATCTCACCCACGGACACACTTTACCCCACTCTCCTCTAATTATTAATAAGGTGTCAAAATGGCAAGAGTAAAAATGCAAAAAAAAAAAATTCAGTTTGGTAACCTCTGACACATTGTGTCAAGCGTTCTCAAACAGTGCTTTATAAATTGACAAACACAAATAGGTACATCAGGACCACTTCAAGCATAATTTCCTCATTTCCAAGTGATTAATGTTTGATTCATTTGCTGGGTAACAATGATTAAGATCCACAATGATTATCTTATCATAACACAAAATCTTTAATCAAAACCGGCTGCCTTGTTTTTGTCGGAACTGCAAATGAGTTTTGATTCATTTGAGATAAACCTGCGGGTTAATTTGTTGCTTCATGAAGAGTAATTGATATCAGCTTGCTGCATCCCGTTCATTTACTTTGATTCTCTCTGCTGCTCTTAATGGGTTTAAAAGCACTGATAATTGAATGAATTCAGACGGGATATTGTAAGATCTTTATCCTTCCTGCAAATCACGTGATCAAAGTTGAATGTTTGTCATAGTTTAATCAGCGTTGATTAAGTGGCTGAAAGTGTTTTCCGGTTACAGTAAAAGAAATATAAAAGTCTATATTTTTATTGGCCAGTGTCACTTTGCTTGTCATGGTGGAGACAGATTTGACTGCTTGGTAAACATGCATTAAGTTTTACTGCTCAATATGTAATCATTTTGAATTATCCTTCTGAAATCTGTTGTTTTTAAAAAGAGTCTAGCTAATTCATTTTGCTTTGGACGTAGTGCGAGTGAGTGATTGCAATCAATGACGTAGTGAAGATAACTTGCACCTGGATATAAAAATCTACTTAAAACGCTATGTTTTACAATAGTTGTCATTTGACAGTTTTTGTATGTAAAATGCAATTCCAGTTCCAACCAGAGGGATTGTAAATATGTATGTTTCTAAAGTAAACATTTTTTTTATAATAATAATACATTTCAGATACTGTCAAAATATTGATATTGTACATTTCAGTGTCCTTAGGAAAAACATTATATTAAAATAATAGTACACACAAAATGAAAATTAGCTGTACATTTATTCACCCTCAGGCCATCCATAATGTAGAGATTTGGAGAAATGTAACATTACAAATTATGTAATGCTAAATTTCTCCAAATCTGTTCTAATGAAGTAACTCATCTACATCGTGGATGGCCTGAGGGTGAGTAAGTTTTCAGCAAATGTAAATGTGTTGTGTGAACTATAACCCCATAGAAGCAGAAAAGCATTGTATATAACCCATACCAAATAGCTTTCTTATGTGAATTTTTCTTATGTGAGTTTCTTTTGTGAATTTGCCAGAACATCTTAAACCTGCAACTCATACTCACCAACACTGGACATCTCTGATACACTGGCCACGTAGGTGTCCTTGGCAAACTTTGGCTCATTGTCATTGATGTCATGGATTTTGATGATGAATTCCGAGGCCCTCTCCAGATCCTGTCCGGAGGACTTGTTGACGGCTTTGGCGCTCAGTGTGTACAATGCTTTCTCTTCCCTGTCAAGCCTCCTGATGGCGTGGATATCACCCGAGTTCTCATCAATCTCGAAAACAGTTCCGGCCCCATCTCCGGTGAGGACGTACTTCACAGATCCATCTTCTGTGTCCATGTCTGAGTGAAGCTTAAAAGAGCAAAGAGAGTTTTGATGGAATTAACAGTTCTCGAATTAACTGTTTTATTTGCACGCGACTGGCAAATTGTTCGCAAGTATACTCAGTCTGTCAAGGCAAAATGTTCAGGCGGTGGCCCTAAACCTTGTGCAAATGGAAACAGAAATGAAACCATTTGCTAAATGCAGTTTAAGCCCTTTCTGGCCGAAGTCAGAATGTGTTTCTTGAGCAATGTTTTTAAATGAGTCATGGATTTGCTCAAAGGCCCCGGCGCTCGGTTTAATTTTCTTTGTGGGTGCAGCTTGAAATTTTGACTTAAGCATTTCATTCACATCAGTATCAGCAATAGTTTCACAATTCTTCCGTTCCTTTTCAACAGCAAACACAGAGCGCTGAATGGCGAGCTCGCCATTATCTGCAGGAGCGCAGAACTTACTGTGTAGAAAGTTCTGTGTTTGCCGTGGTTGTCGGCATATGGCAGATATCTCAGAAAACTGTCAATAGACTCCTGTACCTTTAAACTGTGGAGGAAAGATATGACCGGTTTTGTTCAGAACAGTCACAATTACACAAAACGCTCCTTCAGAGCAGAACTTTCCTTTTACACCTGTCTCTTAGCAACAAGAGGAAGCCTGACAGCCCTCTCCATTAGATTGCAGTTCCTCTTTTCCTGATTAGGTTTTTACCAGAAGAGGACCATGCAGCTCTGGACAAAATATCCAATCAGTATAGCTGCTATAAAATGTTTCATATTTAATAAATTATCAATCAACACCCGAAAGAAGGTGCAAAAACAGTCCTTGTTTTCCTAAGAACCAAAAAATGTTCTAAGCACTGCACCCTACAATTTCATAATCTGTACACTTACAGCTAAATGCACGCTATAATTAGAAACGATTTTAGAGGCTTTTCTAACCACTGTTATCAGGATGTAGATAATTTGACACGTAACAATTAAAAGCTCAATTTGGAGGTTCAGTCATTCTGAAACAGCATCCCTCTCTGTCCTGAAACTGAATTAGGTATCTATTTCACACACAATTGCATTAACAGCACTAGTATGCTGCTTAGAGAAAACTTTTCTTTAGTATTTTTATGTCCTGGCATAGGCAGTTGTATAGGAGGCAAACCTGTGTGAATGTGATTTTGTTTCGTGTTTACTGCAAACCAGGGTTATTAACTAAAGCTAAAACCATTCATTTTAGTTGCATAAAGTAAAGTAAACGTTAACTGTAATAAACTAAAATACATTAAAACAACTTATTACATAAACACATCTTATAATTTTCTTGATATACTAAAATAACTCAAACTAAAATACAAATTAAATAGAAATATTTACAATAAAACAATAACTATTAAAAATGGCAAAATACACAACAAAACTAATACAACTTTAATTAAAATAAAAATATAAAATGTAAAATAAAATTCAAAATATTAATAATAATAATAAAAATCATCTGATACCAGTTGTTAAAAATTTTAAAGTTCATTATAGTAAGCCCAGTAAAGTCACAAAATGAAATGAAACCAAATGCACCTTTCTAACATATTCATACTCACTCTCATGGGTACAGACCCTTATGCTTTTATGTATTTATTTATTTATTTTCCATGGACAGCTAGAGGAGAATCGTACTGGTTGTTCTTTTCCATCCATTCCGTCCCCATGGGGACTAAAGCTTCAGAAAAGATGCAAGAGTACTCTTAAGGCAACCTAAAAATACCACATATGACTTGTGCTCTCTATCCCAAGCCTTCTGAAGTCATGCAAGCTTTGTGTGAAAAACAAACTGCATTTTCTTGGATTTCACCGATATTTTTCTCTTCCAGTAAGCTTATAAATTTGTGAACTGGGTGAACTGATTCATCAAGAAGGTCTGACTCAATATGATTCATTAATGAGTCAAACATCTGTTCTTATCTCATGAGCACACCAAGAAGAGCAAGGACGCATGTCAACATTTTCAGTGAGTAAATATCTAAATGTCTTTCTTTTCCTTGCACAAATCAGTGTGTGAATCAAATGGACTGCTTTTCCACAGAACTAAGAAAGTCATAAAGGTTTGGAATGACATGAGGGTGAGTAAATTATGACTTTATTAGGGGCTGAGACTCCCTCATATTAAAATACAGGACTACTTGTGTTCTGCAAGAAAAATTCTCAACTAAAAGCTTTTTTCACTTGTGTTGTGTTTTGAGTTTTCTGGCCTCCCCAGTGGCTGCCTGATAGGTTCTCAATTCCCATCAGCTAGCTGATGAGTCAATTTTACACATTTTTTATGCTTAGACCTTCTTTTTATGCTTGATCATAATGCACACATTAAACAGAGAGGGTCATATATGTCATCATTTTTGGTCTTCATATTTGCTAGTGTTTTGAAAGCATAAGGTGTCCAGGCATCCCCTGTTTTCCAGGCATTGTTTTCTGTTTTCTTTTTGCAAGAATCTTATGTTCACCAAAGCTGTATTTACTTGATCCAAAATACAATAAAAACAGTAATATTGTTAAAAAATATTTAAATAGATTTGATTTGGTACTGAAAAGGGTTGTGCTGCTCTAAAGTCAAAATGTTTTCTAACATGTTTGATAGATTTAATGCATCCTTTCTGAAAAAGATATACATTTCTTGCAGAAAGGAAAGAAATTGTCTCCAGGTTACGTATATGTAACCATGGTTCCCCGAAGGGAACGAGACGCTGCGTCAAAACGCTACGGGAACGCTCTGAATCACATGTGTAATCAGTCCAATGGATGGGCGAGACGTCACGGGCGGGGTGACGTAGTGACCAGGAAGTATAAAAGCACGTGTGGTGAAACCGGCATCAGCTTCAGGAGTGAAGCAAGCGCTGGCAGGGATGCCGAAAATATGGCCCTGAGACGCAGCGTCTAGTTCCCTTCGGGGAACCATGGTTACATACGTAACCTGGAGACGTTCAGTCCAGAAGCTATGAATTGTGCCTCCTCAGAGGCCACACCCACAGATTCCACAGCGCCGGGCGGGGGCGCGCCCTCCGCCTGTGAGAGGAGATCTCTCCTGACGGGAATCTCCCATGGAGTGCCGTCGAGGAGAGGAATCAGGTCCGAGAACCATACTCGGCCCGGCCAGAGCAGGGCTACTGGCAGTCGACTGACCTCGTTCCAGCGCACTCTCTCCAGAACTGCCGGGAGCAGAACAATCGGGGGAAAGGTGTACAGATGAAGCCTCGCCCACATCTGTACCATGGCATCCAGCCCCAGTGGAGCTGGAGCTGGATGAGTCAGAGAGAGAACCAGAGGGGACCGTGCGATATCATCTGAGTCGCAAACAAGTCCACCTGAGCCTGGCCAAAGACTCTCCAAGTCTGCTTCACCCCTTGGGGTGAGACATCTATTCCCCGGGCCTCGGCCCCTGCCTCGACAGGATGTCTGCCCCCACATATATAAAAGACCACTGCTGTGTTGTTGGTGCGCACCCACACATTGCAATCACTTAGGCCTGGGAGGAAGTGTTTTTTTGAAGCTAGAAACACAGCCAGCATCTCCAGTCAACATATGCGCCACGTGAGATGGCGGCCACTCCACAGGCTGCGGACCGAGCGGCCACTCATGACCGCTCCCAAACGGTGAAAGATGCATCTGTCGCTAGCATATGCGGCGACCAGGAGCTCCCAGCACCAGGCCCTGACATAAGAACCAAGGTTTCCTTCACATGTCTAAGGCACGTAGGCACCGCCGTGTGACCTTGAGCATGCAAAGTGGGTTTCCCCTCAGGGAGAACCCCTTGGTCCTAAGCCACCACTGTAGGGGTCTCATGTACAGCAGGCCAAAAGTAACAACGTTGGACGTGGCTGCCATCAGACCCAGCAGTCTGGAACTGCTTGACAGTGAGTGACCGGCCTTCTCTCACTCTCGCGACAAGGATTGACTCGATCCGAGCAGGAGACATACGTGCCTACATCGTGGTCGAATCCCACACCACGCCCAGATAAGTGGATCTCTGTACTGGAGAAAGCACACTTTCCTTAGCATTAAGTCTTAACCCCAGCTTTTTCGTGTGAGCGAGAACGACATCTCGATGTCAGTGTGCAGGCCCCACCGAGACACGTTAGTCTACTACGGGAATCAGTCTCTCGAGACTGACCTCTGGTGTAATCAGAGCAGCTAGCTGGGTGCCCTGAAGCGGCGAACCGGCAGGGGACGGCCGTACTAGCTGCTCTAGAGATCTCCGTGGAGGTTGCGAGCCTCTTAGCACCGCTACGTTTACGGGCGGTAACTGAGAGAAGCGCTCGCCGGAGACCGCTGCGCCCTGGAACACCGGCAGGGTTGGCAGACTGATTTTCTGAGGGCACTGAGGAGAGACGGGCACCGTGTGATGCGGTGTACACCACTCTTCCCCAGAGGGGCCTGCCCTCCGAGGTCCTGAGCCACAGCATCAGGACCCTCATAGCTGAAGTCTTCTCTAAAAATGACGGTCCTCAGACCCGCGTCATCTGCTAGGAAGAGTCGACTTATAGAACCAGAGCCTGCTCAGGGCAGGACCCAAGGAGGCACGCTTGGCAGGGGCTCCCACACCGCCAGGTGACATACTAAGGGAATCAGTCTCTCGAGACTGACCTCTGGTGTAATCAGAACGGCTAGCTCGGTGCCCTGAAGCGGCGAACCGGCACGGGACGGCCGTACTAGCTGCTCTAGAGACCTCCGTGGAGGTAGTGAGCCTCTTAGCACCGCTACATTTCCGGGCGGTAACTGAGACAAGCGCTCGTCGGATACCGCTGCATCCTGGAACACTGGCAGGGTTGGCAGACCAATCTCCTGAGGGCACTGAGGAGAGATGGGCACCGTGTAATGCGGTGTACACCGCTCTTCCCCAGAGGGAGCTGGCCCTCAGAAGTCCTATAGGCCTTTGGTGTCAGGATGTTTCAGACAGAGACTATCCAGCGCGAATGACGGTCTGCAGAACCACCTTCCGCTATAAGCCTTCGGCCTGGGAGCGCCACTGTGACTCTAAGCGTTCAGCGGGTAAAG